TTAAATAAATGAGCCATTAAATTGAGAACAGGTGAGTGGAGACAGCCATCTTCTCCTGATTTGCTGACCCTTGGTAGACATCAGTTTGATAATAATCATTAGCTGTTAGTCACAGTGTGCCCCACTGCTTGCAAGACTTGGCCTCTTCATGCTGTGAGGTAATTCCCACCCTCTGATCACCCAGGAAGGGACCCTACAGCTAAGCAGGTGATGCTCATAGACCTGCTTTGCCTTTTTAGCTCGGCAATGTACAGACAGTTGATAAACCACCTTGACAGCCATATTGTTTGTCTCAGTTGGAATGAAGTCTGGGAGCCCATGAATCCAGCCTTCATTCCCATGTGGTATTGCTTCTCAGCCTTTTGGCTAAGATCAAGTGTATTCTCACATGGTAGCAGCCCTCAACATATTAGACAACTTTTTTTTCCAGTACCGGGGATTGAACTCAGGACCTTGCACTTGCCGGGCAAGCGCTTATTCTACTGAGCTATCTCTCTGGCCCTAGACAACTTCTTATGTGAACTGCTTTCCCTGATGGGATTTGATGAGATCCATTTGCATTAACACAACATAGTTCTATCCACAGAAGTACATGATAGAAACAAATTGTCAAGATCTCTTTCAGCATTTGGAAGAGCGATGGTCCAAAAAGATAAAATCACTAAAAATTTTAAAAGTTATTTGGTGTTCAGTGACAATTAAATTGCAGCTTACTCACTAAGTGAAAACTGGAGCATCTTGTTTGAACCAAGGGCCTTTGCACTGAGCTACATCCCCAACCTTTTCTAAAAAATTTTGAGACAGGATCTAATTACTTGTCCAGGCTGGGTTCTAACTTACAGTCTTCCTGCCTCAGTCTTCCTAATGCTTTTTGTTTTAGCTTTCTAAATCTCATTTGTCAATTCTCATGCCCAAGTACAAAATTCCTTTGGAGTGGTGATCAACCAGAGATAGGCATGGAGTAGGAAACAGATTCGCTGACTTGTACCCAGGCCCTGGCTCACAGTGGCCACATACCCTAGTACTAACCAGCAGTTCTCAAGGGTTGGCCCATGTGTGGCTGGCTGTGACTGTCTTCAGTGGCCAGAAACAGAAACAACTTAGCCTTATGCAGGAGGCCGAGGGTCAGGAGGGAAGAAGAGAGGAGGTAATAACTGGTAGGGACGGAGACAGTCACTTAATAGTAGGGGTAGGGGAGACACAAGGAACCCAGAGCACATATGACATGGAACTAAAAGGCAGAAAGGTCCAGGCCTCCAAAAGAGACCAAAAACATAACGGGCTACACTCCTCAGTGTTGTTCCTCAGCCCCACTTCCTGCAGGCACCTGGCCTGCAGGTGGACTACCTGGATACTCAGTCCACATGGAAGAAAGTGCCTGCAATGACCACAGCTCCTCCTATTCTAAAAATAAGACAGAAGTCTTATGAATGAGCCCAGAAGGAAATCAAACTTTTGTTGATATGAATTCCCAATTTCTATAAGAAAAAAAATCCGAGGGGTCTTGCTTGAAAGAAAAGTCTGATGAGGTCAAATCAACCACCGAGCCATTACAGAGACTAAACTCCTCCTTACTTGGTTTGAATTACCCATACTTAATTGTAGTCCAGAAACGATACGTGGAAAATTCCAGCAATAGATAGTTCATAAGTTTTAAATAACTTTAGGGGCTGGGGAGATGGCTCAGCAGAATAAGTGCTTCCCTGGCAAGCACAAGGGCCTGAGTTCAATCCCCGGTTCCACAAAAAAAAAAAAAAAAAAAAAAAAAAAAAAAAAAAAAAACGTTTTAAATAACTCTCATTAGTATATTGTTAGACATTTTCTATTTCATGGTTAGTTTTTGTTAATCTCTCATTGTGCCTAATTCATAAATTGAACCTCATGATAGATATGGCTGTAAGAAAAAGCATAGTATAGGCCTGGTATTAGCTGTGGTTTCAAACGTCCACAAAACATCTTGAAAAATATCCCCCAAAGGGAACCTAGTACATGAGTGTATTTATGAGGCACCTACCCCTAGGGACAAGGAGGAACAGCTCGCAGATCTGTGAGCCTAAGAAACCAAAAGTATTCTTAAGATTCCACACTTCCCATCCACATAATAAACATTTATCTTTGAGTATTATCAATCTGTGTTATTGGATTTTTTGTATTGTTTTGTTTTCTTTATGTAGGTTTGGTTTAGTTTTAGTCTGACTCAGTAATGTGCTTGGAAAATTTACTAATAATACTTAATGTGTTCCTTACTAGAGGCAATACTTTATGTGTGGTTTGCTACATAAGAGTTTCTAGCTGGTGTCAAAGAAAAAAGTTTGTTTAGCTCTTTCAAATCTGGACAGAAAACAAAATATGAGAACAGTGCAATCCCTATACTATCCCCAAGGAAAAAAACAACTTGACTATATTATATTGTCCACCTTAAGGATAAAAAATATATTTACTTCAAAGTAAAAGAGACAGTTTGGATTACACACAAGAAAATAATTTCAGGCATCTAAAATATATCACAGATGATATTTTGCTATAAGACCCAGAAAACATGAAACTATTGTTCCTATCAAATTATGCCCCTGTCCATTTTTCCTTTTCCAATTGTATTTGCGGCTTTTGAAAAGAATCTAGTGTTCATGTGGGAGGTGAACTCTGCTGAGAGCGGTGTGTGCCCCCCTCTGCTCCGCCAGGAACTTAATTTTAACTACAGGAGACAGCAGCGTGGCAGGAAATCGTTACAATCCAGCCGCTACTCTGGATGGGGCTCAAAGGCCTGACTGTGACGAGCTAAGGGCATTATAATCCATTCTGGGAATGTGCTTCCCTTTGAAACAGCTTCTACTTGTTATGCCTGTAAGATCTTAGCCTTTGCTTTGCCTCATTTCCCTCCAGGCTTGACGCAGACATGAATGCTGATAGGGTGTGTCACACGCTGGAGTTCTGCAGGCAGGAACCTGGCCAACCATGGTGCCATCTCTACCCCCTTCCTGAGGTGAGTGGGTCCCACTCCTGGTGTGTTCTCAGTAACATGCAAGCCTTTTGCACATGTTGCACATGCAGGCTCTGCTTAACTTGCTCAGTGGTTTAGAAGCAGGAAAAACAAGGTGACGTTTCTTTTTTTTTTTTTTAATAATTTTATTGAGAAAAAAATAGCAATGAGACTATTTCACAACCGATTACTAGCACATTTTCAATAATTAATACAATGCGTATTGTTGTCTTAGTGGTTATTCATTGTACAAGATACAGACATGATATCCTGTCTCAAACACTATTAGAACAAACCTCTCTATTCATTGAATTAAGAGAATGGAGCTGTATATCTATCCTAAGTATTTTGAGTATACAGATACAAAAGGGTCGTTCTTTTCTATCCCACTTTTTTGGTTAGTTTTGTCAGGAAAGGGCATTCCATTGTCATTTAAATGCTGTAGGTGCATGAATTCAGCAAAATATCCCAGTATAGTCCAGTAGCCCATAATAGTAGTGGATTTTCCGTAAGACTGGCAACGTCAGAAGTTGTTGACCTGAGCCCTTTACAGCCCAGCATACCAATATACCAATATATATTCATCCCCTATACGTCGTTTCTTTATACCTTTCTGCTGGATGGTTAAGACCAAGATAAAGCAAGACCTATATAACAAGAAATGTAACTTTTATATCTGATAAAATCAGTCAAATCCCCTCAGGATTTATCCTGAAACCCTGTACCACAGTTTGTAGATCCTTTGTTAGTGTCAGCCATGTGGATGAGTCACAGCCATTGCTTGACCAGTTTGCTCTCTGTGAAAGCCTGAGAGAATGTTTTCTCTCCATGTGACTCTCCTTAGGCACACTCTACATCATCGATCACTTTCCTCTGTGGCCCCATAATCTCCTTAATCAGAAAATCTGGGACACAACTGAGTTACAGAATGTTACAGTACAGGTTCTCATATGTCATGAGTCCTTAATGACCTTGAAGGGCTATGGTCAAAATATTGGCTGTCCTTGTGGCCCTTCTTTTTCTTTAATTTTTGATCTGCAAAATTAAGTTGTTCCAGAAGAGAGGTTTATTATTTTTACCCTGCAACATAGGTAGTTGAGCTTAACCTCACTATCTGTCTGGATATCAAACATCTTAGACATAACATGGAACAGGTATTTTCCATCAAGTATTGATATCTTAAACTTTGAGTCCCTCCACAATATGAAGAAAAAAGATTAAAAAGATTTAAAAAATTAAAAAATAAGAATAATCATTAACATATTTTTACACAGAAATTTAGAAGTCTAACTATATACAGCCTTGTAGCAGGATAGCTCTGTAACTTTTTTTTTTTGTCTCTTATTTTCATTTACTACCCCTTTTTAAAAAAACAAACATTTACTTGAGAGACAGTATGACAGTAATTGGTATGTCATGACAAGCAGTATGTAATTAGAAGACCAGAATGACAGGCATTCCAAGCATGACCCTACCATTACACATTGCTTTCTTCAGTGCAGTTGCTTAGTTCACAGGTATCAGAGTATATAGTTAGACTGAGTGAGAATCCCATCAATTAACTGCTGGTTTCCAAAACATGCAGAAGATTCTCAGGACCATTGCCTTACCCATCTTGTGCATATAAATGTATGACTTTGCCCCTGTCATATATCCTAGCTTTTCTCCTTACTCTCTCTTCGTTGTCTAATCCTCAAGTTCTCACTTTCCTTTTAATTGTATTATGCCTTTCTAACTTTATTTCTTTCTTTGAGTTCTTACACTAGGGAGACTATATGATATTTACATATGTGGGTCTGGTTTATTTCACTTATGAGTATATCTTCAAGTGGCATCCACTTATATATAAAGGCTTTGAGTTTATCATTCTTTATAGCTGAGTAGCAATCCATTGTATAAAAATACCACATCTTTCTCATCCATTCCTCAGGTGATGGGCATCTTGGTTGTTTCCAAGATTTGGCTATCACAAATTGAGCTGCTATAAACATAGGTACACATATATCACTATGATATGACATTTACAGTTCCTCCGGGAAAATTCCCAGTAGGGGGATAGCTGGTTTTAATGGGATTTCTAGTCCTAGTTTTTTAAGGAGAAGGTGACATTTCTGACTGCTCCATATGAAATAATTTTATCTATATTCCTTCTCCCATGCTTCAAAGAATATACTTACTGTCCAGTTGCTATGGACAGTGATCTTGAGCTCAGTTGGTAGGACAGAGATCTGCTCAATCAAGGAATGAAGAGGCTTAAACACCTTTATACCACTTAAAAAGCAAATCCTTCCTGTAGGGTGACCAACTCATCCAAGGTTGCCTGGGAAAGGGAAAGGGAGAGGGAGAGAGAGAAGAAGACAGAAAAGAATGAAAAAGTCCCATATCCTTGGAAAACCTGAGCAGTTGGTCATCCTAGTCTGAACTTTACTGTCTGAAGCTGTAGGATGCCTGATAGCTTTGTCATGCATGGGATGTAAGGAGTCTAATGTAGACAAAACACTCAGCACAATGCCTGCTGCATAGAAAGTGTTAATAAAAATGATGGCTCATAAAACTATTATCAATGTCATTATTATTCAGGGTTTGGAATACCCAGTGCACATTATATCACTTCAGTTTACTTTTAATTGGATTGCAGTTGGAGACAAGGGTGTCATTGTTGACACAACTCCCTTTCTGAACTCTGGATCAGAATATATTATCAAATCCCATCTACTGATTTTCAGCAGCTTCCTATAAGAAAAGAATATACTTACTGTACCTCCTTTCCCAGAACTGTGGGTTTTCTGCACAAAGCACAACAGTTTTGTGCCATAATAGTTTGGTTTTTATTCATGTTAAAATGAAGTCAGTTGCAGAGTTTGGGGCATAACCAGTAGACACTGTTGGGACTGACTGTTAAATAGCATAAGTGTGTTTCTTTGAACAGGAAGAAAGGAGGCAAATGCCTGGACTCTATATGTCTCATGCTTCTAGGGTCATTGACTAAATGCTAATTTCATTTTACGTAGACCACTTGAGAAGCTGTGGTTTCCACTGCTGTCTAGAAGAGAGGAAGAAAAAAATCCATATGTTTAAGTGTCTTATTCACTTTCTCTGCTGAGCTACAAAGCCTCTCAAAAGAGGAGAGGTTTATTTTGGTTCAGTTTATAGAGGTTTCAGTCCATAGTTGGCTGGTTCCACAGAGGGTGGCATGACAGAGGGGCCTGGCAGGGGAGAAACAGCCCATGGCAGGGTACAGGAAGCAGGAAAGGATAAGGGGGGAAGGAGGCCAACCTGCCCAGGCCACGCCCCCAGCAACTCATATCCTCCAATCAGGCTTTAGCTCCACATTTATCTATGCACCCATCAGTAGACTAATCCACCAATGAGTATCGTGACCCTGAGATCAGTCCCGTCACCTCCCTCACAGAGGCTTTGGGGGACTAGCTAGATTTAAACTATAAAAAAGGTAATGTGAATATCTTATCATAATAATCTCTGTTAAATAATATTGGAATAGGAAACATGTCTCCGTGTAGGAAAGCAATTGATTTGGGTTTTTGTGATTTTCACAAATAGCATCATGTTCTACGGAAGTGATAACCATAGCTAGACATAGTCAGAAAATGTCCAGCTTTAAACTGTCTCACTTCAAATGGCATTCCTGCAGGGCACGGTGGCCTGCACCTGGTATCCCAGCCCTCAGGAGGTTGAGACAGAAGGACTGCTGTGAGTGCAGCGCCAGCCTGGACTACATAGCAAGATCCTGTCTTAAAAAAAATAACAATACATTTTTAAATGACATTCCTTTGTGCTGTATTTCCTAGAGTTTATAGACAATTTTTTTCTTTCTTCCCGGTACAACTGCCTTTTCTCCTCCCAACACAGGAACATCTCAACCTGAAAACTCAGATTCAGGGCGGGCGCTAAAGGGTCTCCCTGGGAAAGGCTGACCTTCCGCCTCCTGGCACGACCCAGGAAGCACCTGAGCCCAGGGCATCTCTCTCTCTGCTTCTGGGAGCTGCTCCAGGCCTCTCCTGCAAGGCATCTCCTGGGCCCTCCTTCCCTAGGAGTGGCGCAAGGCACAGGCAGTTGGGCCAGTGCAACCTTTCTGCCTGCAGGTTTCCCTCGGCAGTAATCATCTGCCTGGAGTCCTTGCCATATGCCAGGAAACTTCAGTTTCATCTTCTAGACTCGAAGAATCTTAGTGTGTAGGCAGAATTTGACCCCTTTCTTCAACAGCTGAGGAAACTAAAGCCAGGAGAGTTTCTATAACTTGCTTAAAGTCCCTCCCGACCCCAGCAGGAACAACACTATGATCTGTCGCTGTGCCTGGGAGGGTTGGTGTTCTCTTTACATCTGGGTCAGGATTTCTGTAATTGCCCTAAGCTAGCACTTTACAGTGATCATCTAAATCCCAGCCACCAGAAACCACCAGTGTTAAGATATTATTTGTTCTTTTAATTTTTAAAGTAGATTAAAAATATTTATACTTTCATTGAGTTATTGTAATGTATAAGCAATTTTCATATATATTTGTTTCCCCTTTTATGATTACATTTTGAGCATATGTGGTATGATCAAGCTACAGTGAATGTTTTAAATTAAGAAAAAATGTATCGTAGTGAAAGACACTTTGCCATTGATTCCCCCTCAAAATGTTCTCTCCTGGGCCAGGGCGATACCTCAGCAGTATAAACATCTGGTTGGCAAATGGAAAGAGCTGAGCTAGATCCTTGGTACAAGAAAAAAAAAATCTAACTATCTGTATATCTATTTATCTATCTATAGTCTTCATTGCTTCAAACACATGCTATCATCTTACCACTTTCTGAAGCAGTTCTGGCAGAGCTCTTTCATAAATGTCTTTAGTTGCACTGTTGCAGCTGCCTTAATGTTTGGAGGCAATTAAAAACACTTACCTTTATGGCCATTTTGACTTTGAGAAAGCACCAGAAGTCTCACGGGGCTAGATCCACGCAATACAGTGGATGAGGACACACCGCCATGTTTTACCAAGC